TAGTTCTAATCCTGAAGTTTTATTTGCAGCCTTCTATCCTGTCCATAGTTGGAGTGACTGGGAGGGACTTTAATGAGCTAGTGTGTTTGTTTGTCTATCCTACACAAACCAATTGTTCCTTCCAGCCTTCGAATTTGAAGGTAGTGTTGTTTCCCTCTCTTTCCTCAGCTGGAAGCAGTCACTTGTTTATTTGCTGTGAACCTGCTTAGTTAGTTGTTAAGTAAGTGTCTAGTAAAGAAAGCAACATACACAAGTTTGTAACTTCAAGCAACTAAGTACAACTAGTACAATTGTCTCTGAGTGAGCTACTGAGACTTTAAGTGGCAGTTAATGAGAAAAGGGTTGACTCTGATGAACTTGTATTCTGCTCTGTGGATCTCTGTGTTTCTATTGTGAAGCAAAGAAGTTATTTTTACCACAAATGCAACACTCTGCAATAGTACCCCCTGCTCCAAACACCTCGTACTTGAAATATTTAGATAAAAAACAGTTATTATGAGGTGTTTTTGATGAAAAATGGTGGGGAGGAAGATGAAAAAATATCACAAACACTTTAAAAACCAAGAAATCCCCCAAAATACATGTTAGCTATCTGTCTGCTTCTCTGGGCCCATAGCCTGTTGCAGAGTTTTGAATTACTGATAAAATTCTCTTTTTGCTACACATTAACAACTAACTACAGAGATTCACTGAGGGAAATAGCTATAATTTCCCCACAGTCCATTCCCCTTTCTCACTGACTGGCACTTAAAGTCTCAATATCTCACTCTGAGACACCTGTACAAGAAAAAAATAAAATATATTTATTTATTTAACTTGTATACCACCCATATAGAACATGTCTACTCTGGGCCTGAAACATAAAATATAAAAATAAACTAAGAAGGATAAATGAACTAAAGATACAATCCAAATTAACAGCAGTGGTTTGAAATTACACACTTGTGCATACTGCTTGGTGGATGACCTACACCGGGACCTGGACAAAGGAAGTGTGTCCCTGCTGGTTCTGCTGGATATATCAGCAGCTTTTGATACCATCAACCATGGTATCCTCCTGACTTGTCTCTCTAGGATGGGACTTGGAGGCACTGCTTCACAGTGGCTCCAGCCCTTCTTAAGAGAATTCAGAAGTTGGTGCTGGGGGAGTCCTGTTCGACACCCTGGCTGCTGGCCTGTGGGGTCCCTCAAAGTTTGCTTTTGCCTCCTGTGTTATTTACCTGAAACCACTGGAAGAGACTGTCTGGAGTTTTGAGGTTCAGTGTCACCAGTATATAGATGGCAGCCAATTCTATCTCTCCTTGACATCAAAATCTCAGGAAGCTATTTCAGCTCTAGATCAGTGTCCTTTTAAAGGAGAAAGCTGGGGTAAAAATATTTTAAATAAATAATGTGACTAATGGAAAAGGTGAGGATGAATAAAGCAAAACTTAATCCAGACAAAACAGAGGTGCTCTTTGTCAATCAAAAAGCAGACCAAGAAACAGGGATACAGCCTGTGATGGATGAGGTTACACTTCATCTGAAAACACAGGTGCACAACTTGAGGATGCTCCTGGATTTGTCTCTAAGTCTGGATACTCAGGTTTCAGTGGTGGCCAGGAGTGCATTTGCACAAGTTAAGTGAAACCCTCACCTCCATCCATCATTGTGCAGCAACCAGAAGATGACATGACTGTATTTGAATAAATGTAGATTCTTGTACTTGAAATAAATAAAACATACCCTAAAAACAAGCCCTAATGTGTGTGTGTGATGTGTGTTGTTGTTGTTTTTTTTGGTTGTGTGGGGTTTTTTTGGAGCAAAAATTAATATAAGACCCTGTCTTATTTTCGGGGAAAGACAGCAGCAGTCTTCCAATATCTGAAGGGTTGCCATAGGGAAGACAACATTGATTTATTCTCCACTGTGCCTGAGGGTAGGACAAGAACCAATGGGTGGAAATTCATCAGAGGGAGCTCCAAAATGGAAATAAGGAGGAATTTCCTGATGGTGAGAACCATTAAGCAGTGGAACAGCTTGCTGCTCAACATTGTGGGTGCCCCATCACTGGAGGTTTTCAAGAAAAGATTGGACAGCCATCTATCCAGGATGGTATGAGGTCTCCTGCCTTGGGCAGGGGATTAGACTAGAAGACCTCAAAGCTCCCTTCCAACCCCACGACAATTCTATGACCCTATGAAGATGGTGGATCAAACCAGAGGCATATTTAGTTTAATTTCTGTTTCTTCTTTTTATAGCTACAGATCAGTAGCATACATTTTTCCTTATTGATGATGTCTTGACAGCATTTTCACAGAAATTTGTCTCCCAGAAATCAAGGGTATGGGGGGTGAACAGTTTGGGAAGCAATTTTGAATTCCCATTGGCATAGTGTTAGGATGATAGGAGTTGGAGTCCAACCCAGCTGGACGACACCAGGTTGCAAAGTCTGCTTTGTAGTAACGGGGGTGTTTTTCAAGAAACCTGATCAAACTGCAATCTTCTGTCCGTAGCAGAACAGAAAACATTATGTTTGTCTTAAACATTATACTGTCATCCAGTGGTCATTACAATGAACTACACAGCATGTCTATTTTACATTAATACTATTCAGGTGATAAACATCTAAATTCAGCAATATAGAAAACAGGGAGGAGCAGGAAATTTACTGACTGACATATCCAATGAAGGACAAACAGGGATGGCAACCTATGGCCTTCCAAATATTGTCAAGACTACAATTCCTACAGCTTCTCATCATTAGACCTGACAGGGATTGTAGTCCAACAACATTTAGAACAGTGGTTCCCAACTTTTGGTCCTCAGATGTCCTTGAACTAAACCTTCCAGAAGCCTGCTGTCACATTCCTGCCTGTCCCTTGGTTGTTTCACCAAGCAAAGGCACAAGCTACGTGTCGTTCAGCTGCCATCAGTTGATTACATCAACTTTATTCACTATTAATAACAGAGGTCCAGGCAACGTATCATTTAAGAACCAAGTAGAAATTGTTTATTGTTACAAGTGATAAAAGTCCAGTCAATGTCATTAACTCTCTACTAAACAACCTTCTTCCTCCACTCTCAACCATCTACTCTCTCTCCTTCTTGCGCCTTTTCTTTCCTCCACTTAACTCCGCCCCTGACCGACTCCCATTGGTGCATGCAAAGTTCAATATAAATATTCCAGAAGCCTGCATCACTAGCTGTGCTAGCTAAGATATCTGGGAGTTGTAGTCCAAGAACATCTGAGGACCTAAGGTTGAGAACTGCCAACTTAGAAGTTAACAGATTGGGAGTAAAAGGTATGTTAGTCTGTTGAAATAAAAGGGAGCCATGTAGTCATTACAAAACACAAATGCAAGACTAAGTGATACCTTTATTGACCACTAAAATAATCATACAATCTGTATTCTCGAAGGCTTTCATGGCCAGGATCCAATGGTTGTTGTAGGTTTTTCAGGCCAAACAGCCCAAAAACCCTAAAACAACCAATCATAAAATCTGCTAGCTTTCATGGATCAAGACCATCCTCTTCATCAGGCTTGTACTGGTGTGAAGAACTTGCCATGAACCTATAGATTTTTAAGTTCTTCGCACCAATACAAGCCTAACGAAGTGGATGCTACTGATCCACAAAAGCTAGCAGACTGTATTAAAATTTTTAATGGTCTATAAAGGTGTTGCCTACTCTTGCATTTGTATCATGTTAGTCCAGCTTTCACATTATAACTGTGGTAGTAGTTACAGTACTGTAAGGATAACCGTAAATCAAAGATTATACTAGCCTAAAGAAGTTGCCCTACTCTATTAGCATTGCCTTCCTGATATCCTCATAAGCACCATCCCATTTCATGGCCAGAGTCTGGGACCAGTAGAGTAAATCTCAAAAAAGTTGTCCTCAGTGCCAGCGTCAGAGACCTGGTAACCCTAACTTCTGTCCTACTGTCATTCATAAGATTCAGCCCTGATATGTAGAACAGATGGTCCCAAGGAAGCAAGACTTCTTTTGCTGAGTTCAGTTCTGCCAGGCTCTTGCCTTCTCCTTCACAAAGAATGGGGTGATTCGAAGCTGCCAGACCTGCAAAGCACAGCAAAAGAGGCCAAGGATGGCCCTTGATCATTCAGTTTAGGACTGGACTGCTCTCTGCGTCTCTTGCCTGTGAAAAACATCTCTCAGTAGCACACACACCCCTGAAAAACATTAAATGAGGAATCAAGCTGCATGTGCCAAATGTGTACTTTCCAAAAACAGGTGAAAAAAGAGGTGTGCCAGATGAGGTTTCTCAAAAGAAGGGAGAGGGGCCTACTTCTCAGTGATGGGCAAGGATATTTGGCTGCCTGAAGATTCCCCCATTATTCCAGGTAAGGAAGAGCCTTACTGCAGGGTCAATGAAACTGCAGCGTCCCCTGCTGTATCTGAGGGCCAGCAGGGTGAGTTACAGATGCAGGACAGATGCCAGCACACACAGCGCTGTCCTATAGCAACTTATTGCTGCTCCTCTCTGCTTCCTCACCATCTGCTGCCTGAGGCAGACTCCTCATTCTCCCTAACAGTAGCATCAGCTCTCCAAATGCCCCTGTTAGGCCTAAGTGTACAGGAAAAGAGGCAGGGTGGAAAAACACACAAAAACAGAAATGCATTTTTGTTCCTCTTTAAAAATATTAGGGAGCACAGCAGGCGAAAGGAAGGTCCCCTGACACAGAGGCAACATAACCCCAAACTGGGAAAGGCAGAACAGGAAGGGAAACAGAGGCAAAACAGCCAGCACCACCATCCACCTTCATACCACTCCGTCCAGAGAGGTTCGGAGATAAAACAACAGTAACAACTCATCGTTTCATAATCCCTGCATTGTTCTTCAAGCATACACTCAGGGGAGGCGGGAAAGCAAAACCACAGGCTTCAAACCTTCAGAAAGGCTGACAGGCCTCAGGCCTATTCCAGACTTTCCGGCTCTTACCCGGACTGGAAGGGCGGGAGAGGAAGAAAAGCCTGCATTCCATATCTCCTATTTTACCTTCAGGAGGTCAGGACAAGACCTGGAGACTCTGGGTTTTTGTTCCCCGGGCAGCCAAGGGGGGGAAAAAATTAAAACTCTCGCTCTCCAGCCATGGGCATACAGAGGCTTCTCTGCCTCCACAGGAAGTAACGAGCACAGCGTTTTCTTCGGAAGATGCCGGCAATGTGTCTGCAGGTCTTTCTGTTTCAACTAGATATGCTTTCCCCTCAGGTATATACTTCACTTATCACAAGAATAAGCATTGTTTAAGTTCCTCGTTTCAGTACAATATTCATCAAACCTATGTATTATCTGTTATATGTTAAATGCTATTATCAGAGATAACTGGCTGCGTTTAAACAATGTTAAAATTTGTGATACTGCAAGTATTCATCTGAGGAGAGAGTATTTGCATTTCTGTCAGAAAAAAACCAAAGTACTGTACCTGTTGTATGTTTCAGATGTCTCAAATAAAACTACTTTATTCTGATAATCCTTGTGAAGCAGTAAGTATTGCCACCGAGAAATTGCCACCTAGACAATGGCAGATTCTGTGGGCAATGCAACAAGCCCAACAACACTACCTGAAGTAGGGCTCCGGAGAGGAACGGCAGCTTATATATAGCAAGATCTTTTCTTCCTTATTGTTTCAGAAAACATTTTACAGCCCAGTTATATGGTCTGAGTGCTCATTTCATTTTATGAATCAGAATCCCCATTTTATTTTTACTTTAAAAATCAATCAAGTCAAATAAATAAATAAATAAATAAATAAATAAATAAATAAATATTATTTCTTCTACAAGACAATGGCTCACACTTCCAAGCAAATGTGCTTACCATTTATGTAAAAAAGACACGTTCTGGTGCCATGATTTAAGTTAGTTAAAACTTTGAAACAGCAGATTCTGAGATTTTTTTAAATATGCAGAATTAAGAACTACTGTATATTTTCTTTAAGTGCTTTTTGTTCTCTTTTCTTACATGTAGTAGTGTAGAAGCAATTGTAAATATGGAATGGATGTAGGAAGGGGAAGAGGAGAATTATGAATTCTATCCCTCACAACCAAAATGATGTGCAGGGCTATGTGCCTCTACTGGGATTGACACTCAGAGAAGTGGGATCTCTGCACAAGGCAAGCCCTGCAATAAAAAGTTGCAGTACATTCCTGCAGTGTTTGCATGTTACTTGATCTTGTGCCTAATGGAGTTAAGAGGAAAATTAGCTTTAAAAATAGGTATTATCTTCATTTACATTTTAAATGTTTTTCAGCATTTCAAATAAACCAGTGTACATGCAAGTCAATAATACAACATGAGGCTACTACGGGTAAATGATATGTGAAAGATCTGAAGGGACAATTTAAGTATGTTAACATGTTGTAAACTGAGAAGCAGACTCTTTGACTGGGAACCCAAAACAATTTCAGCAATATTAGCTATGGACCTGGAGCTTTCAGTGTGAACAAAACTGCAGGGTGGCTATATAGGCTACTGCTTCTCAGCAACAAACTGTTCTAATCTAAACATGAAGACAATGCACTATACTGTAGTTCCTTTGGGAATGTGCAATAGCTGCTTATTTTTAAAAATTCTTTACACTGAGTTAGAAAAAGTAAGAACACTATGGTCTTTGTTGCTACTTTGGGGGTAGAGGTTCATATTCCTACTACATTGCCATCTTAATTCTTCTATTATTGAGTCTCACTTCCACCTTTAGGCGTATTTTTAAAAGTCATCCAAGTTTAAAAGATGTTCCAAGAAATAACCTGTTGAGACATTTAATTAATTCTCCTTACTCTTTCGGTATATACGTCTCTTTTTCCATCCTACTTTTATAAGATACTGTACATCATGTTATCTCCTTTTCCAACTGTTTTCCCACTTCCCCCCCCCCTTCTATTCAACAGTTGGATATCACTGCATGCTAAATGGTCATGCTCAATTCTCATTGTCCTATTTTGGTGCCACTCTTAGAAATTTTGTGGGGAGGTGTTTTTTTTAATGCTTCTAACTTTGACGTTTATTCCCCTAAGTCTCCTGATGTCACCTTCTAATATGTGCATGGTACTCTCAGCTCAGACTGACACTAATATAGGACTCACAACAAAAATTTGTCCTGCTCTGTAGTTCAGTGAGTCACTCCAAACTTCGAAGATATTCTGTTCCATGCTCTCTACCACAGTTTTTTTTAATGGTCCCCCACAAACTATCAGTGTTTACTAGTGGCTGAGAACGCTCTCAACCTCACTGGGCTATTTTTCTCCTAAAGCTTTTGGCTCTTCTGTAGACCTTGATGTTTCCCCAAGCCTGCTGATACTCCATTTCACGGAGTTTCCTAACACCACTTCGGCGAGATGAGCAAGGATACTCACTTCTGGAATACAGTAGCTTTTGAAACCCATCACAGTTTCAAACATAATTTCATATGTCTTTCAGAAAGTTGCTGTTTGAAACAAGCATTTGTTGTTCGTTGTTTCGACTTGTACACCGTCCCATAGTGCTGAAGCACTCTCTGGGCGGTTTATAACATAATTATGCAAACAATATTTTGCATTTTAGAAAGCTGGGTACTACGTTTACTGACCTCAGAAGGAGACAAGGCTGAATCAGCCTAAAGCCACTGTACGTACCTGAACCCATCAGGACTGAACTCAACTCATGAGCATAGGCTTGGCTGCAGTTCTGCAATTCAACCAATGAGCCATGAGGCTTGTACTGGCTGTCTTTCAATCCTGGAATATTGACTAATTTGACACAACTCCGGGAGACAGTGGAAGATAGGAGGGCCTGGCGTGCTCTGGTCCATGGGGTCACGAAGAGTCGGACACGACCGAACGACTAAATGACGACACAATGCTAAGACACCCAGGTGTTTTTAAATCTATGATTCTGTACCCTTTTAAAAGTTATTCCTGGATGTAATATAGCAAATAATATACAACTTTAAGCTACTATTGAGAGTTCTGGTGAAAAAATTCAGAAATATTTGCCTGAGTAAAAATGTTACATTAATTTTCTAATACTGTATGTGAAGGAGTAGATTGTTTTTCTAACAGCAATGGGAATTAGTTGCTCAATTTCTTCATTAAGAATGTGGGAGGAAAATTAATTCCCTACTATGGCTTCCCAAATTAATTAAAATGCTTATTCATTTATGTTGTACATATATACAGAGTTGGGGAATGAAAGAAAATTCTAAATTAATCCTAATCAGAATAAGGCTTCAGTCCATTCCTATAAAGTGGATTGGCATATTGTAAACCTAAATATACAAGAAAACCAATGAGTCCCTTTACAGGGAGAAAGGTGGAGTAGAAATAAACACATAAATAAATAAGAAAGAAAGAAAGAAAGAAAGAAAGAAAGAAAGAAAGAAAGAAAGAAAGAAAGAAAGAAAGAAAGAAAGAAAGAAAGAAAGAAAGAAAGAAAGAAAGTCAAATGCCTATCTGTATGCATGACAATTTTATCTTTATGAACTCTTATCTGTTTAAACAGAACAGACATTAAGGTAAATTGTCTGTAATTTCCTGGATTCTCTCTTGATCTCTTTAGAGAATATTGTTATTGGGCAAGACTGAACTATAATACTGTACAAGATTTAGCCATGTCAGTCTGCGCAAGCATATAAAGTAAAACCCAAAGGAAAAATAATAATAACAAAAGAAAAAAATTAGGCACCTTAAAGACTTATATTTTAATGTGAGCTTTCATAGACAAGTCCACTTCTTCAGACATAGGAGGTAAAATACAGAATTTACACAGTAAAACATTAATGCGCAGCATTAAAATATACTGGTGTGTGGTTGCATTTCACACATATAATAATTTATGACCTATGGACACGACTGGACAAATTGTCAAGGGGAACCTTTACCTTTACAGTATGTTTAATGTTCAGTTCTCTTGAAGTTTGTTCTTTTCTAAACATTCCCACAAAAAAAATAGAAAACAGAAAACAAGGCAACACATTTAGTGTAGCCTGTGCTGCAATGCTTCCAGTTATAGGTTTTGAAAACTTCAGAATAACAACTGTCATGAAGTAATGCCTTTACCACCCTATTCTTAAGAGCTGCTACATCAGCTCTTTAAAATGCCTTGGACCAGTTGCCAAAATAATGGTAAAAGAGGCAGCATTAGCCATGCAGAACTTTGGGGCCATATTATTTGTACCGTATGGGTTAGCAACAGTTTGGCCATCGGCACACTGAATGCTAAGATTATGGAGCATAACTGGGAGGGAAAATTTGCATATGACATATATGATATTAGTATATGATATCTATATATCATATATTAGTAATGTATATGAAATCAAAATTAGTATATGATATCAAAATACACTAAGTATATGATATCTAGTGGCATTCAAAAGTATTTTAGAACTGGAGTAGAGTATCTAATCCTACTCCCATTTAATGAAAACATAAACCAGTAGCAATCACATTTGCCTCATATTGGAAGTAGTTTGTTTCAACTGAGGGCTGTACAATAGAATAAATTTGTCATTCTTGGATATTGCTGTTATTTAAGCACCTATTTTTACTTAGTAGAACAGACAAATGCAGGATGCTATCATGTTCAAAATTTAATGTTTGCTTAGTGGTATGGTTCAGTGGTTCAGTAATTCTAAAAGAGCTTAATCTGTGGCACAGAATGACTCACTACATTGCACGCAAACAGTAACTGAGACTGTGACATTTAAACATATAAAGTCACAAAGTGCCTTGCAGTCAGACAATGGGCATCTGTGAATTACTACAGCAATACAGTATAAACTTTTAGAAGCCTTAACAGATGCAACTGCTTGTGTATCTCACTAGGGGGCATAAATAACCTGTGCTCAGCCAGCAATTACAGTGGTGCCTCGCAAGACAAATGCCTCGCAGGACAAAAAACGTGCAAGACAATTGATTTTGGCAATGGGGCTGATGACTCGCAAGACAAATGCCTCGCAGGACAAAAAACGTGCAAGACAATTGATTTTGGCAATGGGGCTGATGACTCGCAAGACAAATGTTCCTATGGCCGCGCTTCGCAAGATGAATGTTTTCCGTTTTTTGTTCCTGCCTCACGTTTGCTGATTTATAAATGTTTTTCTATGATGTTTAAAAAGTTAAAGTTGATGACTCGCAAGACAAATTTTCCGATGGCCGCGCTTCACAAAACTAATGTTTTCCGTTTTTTTTGTTCCTGCCTCATGTTTCCTGATTTTTAAATGTTTTTCTATGATGTTTTAAAAGTTAAAGTTTTGTTATTGAATTTTTTTTCAATCATCTGCACAATATGTATGGCTTTAAAGAGCACTTAATAAACCCTTTGTAAACCAAATTTGACTTTGTTCTGTTTTTGCCCATAGGAACACACTAATTAGATTTCAATGCATTCCTATGGGAAAATGCTTTTTGCAAGATGAATTTTTCGCAAGACGACATTAACTGCAGAACGAATTAAATTCATCTTGTGAGGCACTACTGTATTTGCTTATGGAAAATGGAGGAGAAATAATGCCAATTATTGTAGTCCAGCTGTGCTGCTTACAGTTCAGTCAGCTGGAGTGTGCCAACACAGGGCAGACCTGAATCAGCAACACAACTGTAAACAAGAGAGATCTTGCAAAATGGCTGGGGCAGGAGTAAGAACAATGCATGGTGAGAGCAGCAACAACCTTATCCTAGGCCAGAAGCATAATTCAGCGTGACAATAAGAGGCACAAAAATTATGAGGTCAGCAGATCTGGATCTTTTGTCCTTATTTTCAGGCAATAATGAATACCTAGTACATAAAAATGTATTTTTCTTTATGGCAGCATGTTTGAAAATTGCTGCAAACTGGGGGGAACTTGTAATTTGATTTTACATGCATGGAGAAATAGAATATGTCATATTGCCCTAATGGAAAAATGAATTAACCAGATCTGGTTAAACAACTACACACCTAATATGATTTTTTCAACACATGGTTTTCTTTTATTGATTATGTTAATAAGATTGGCAAGACTTATTTTCCACTAGCCTCCCATGTCAATATTTGGTGTGATATTCTAATCTGATACAGATTGCAATGGTGTGAATGTTTACTTAATTTTCACTTCAGTTTTACGGAAACGGACTATATCAGATTGCATATTCCTTGTGAAAGACCTGTGCTATTATTTTGCTGTTGTTTTTCCATGTTCTTTCAGAAAAATTTAGAAAAAAGAAAGAGGGGCGACTGCAAGGACATATTGCAACACATGCAAAGTACAAGTGACAAAAATGCTAGCATTTTCTTCTAAATTCTTGCATAAGGAACTTAGAACCATGTGACCATAACATGTTGTCCTCAACAAGATAAGCTAACTTATGTAGGCAAGAAAACAATGCAAAAGACCATTGATATAAATTCCATAACAATCACATTGGTCTTGGCATGTTTTTTTTTCTAGCACGTATGTACCAGATGACCAAATTAATCTACTACTTTGTAAATAAAGTTTCTCATTGCCAAAGAATGATGCCCTTGTGAAATATGCTTTCTTATGGTTGCCAGAGTAATTCTATGTAAGCAAAATCAGGCAAAATCCAAAGTAACAAAACAAAGTAAAAAACATGCGGCACCTTAAAACTAGCTATTAAGCCTATTTTAATGTAGGCTTTTATGGTTATACAAGAAAACCAATATAATACTTAAGTCTTTAAGGTGCCACATGTCTTTGTCTTTGTCTTTATTTTGTTCTGTTTCTTTGGATTTTGCCTGATATGCTTGCATTGACTAATACACATGGCTACCTCTTCTAAAATTACAACTATGAAAGTAATTCTATGTATGTAAGTATATCATATGGGCATTGCTATTTCTTTAAACAATTTGCTTCTCCCAAGTCTCCTTCCAGCATTCTCCTTTAGAGGTCCTGGAAAAACTATTTTTTTTGTCACAGGGGCTGGGGGAACTTGTAGTCCAGAAAAACTAATTTCCCCTGTGTATTCTTCAACTTGCCCACTGATCTCACAGATTTATAACGTAATTGTGCTTTATTTTGTACTAACCAAAGAGAGATTCTCAAACCTAGGGCAGGGAATCTCTTGATGCTGGGTGTTGTCAAGTCCCTTGATAACTTTTAACGACTCTGTCCGCAGCATACGAGGTGATCAAGGGAGGGCTTTGCCACTGCCAACCCCTAGCGAGTTTTGGTGACCCAGTGATAATTTGAACTCAGAGCTCCCGAGTCCCTGGTCTGACATTCAACCAACTACACTGGTTTTGCTCTGGGAGTTACCGGCTAAATAAAACAAATCAACCAGCCCTAAGGCGTAACTCGGATAATTTCTTGGAATTCAAATGGGTGGGTGTTGTAGAGGAGCTGTGTTACTCAGCAGTTACAGAGAAGAAAGGAATGAAGGCTGTCGGGGTGCATTTTCCCCCACGACAAAAATCTCAGCCCCGGTTTTGTAAAATGGGAATGTTTTGAGTGTACTGACTAGCTCATTTCAATATGCGCTCCGCCGGCTTGTGCCTCGCCTCCTCCTCGTGTCCACGCCCGGAATTTAGGTAGGCGGCCACAAAAGCAACAGGAGGGAAGTCATAGCCCCCCCCCCAAATCGGCCAGGCCCTGAGGAGCGAGAGGTGAGCGGCGTCTCACACACACACGCAGAGAGAGAGAGAGAGAGAGAGAGCGCAGGCCTGTCGGCGTGCGCTCCTCGGACGGAGAAATGTAGCGTTTGCGCTTTGACCTGAGCAGGTACGAAAAGAGGAGGAGGGAGGCCTTCTCTCAGGAAGAGACAGAGAGAAAGCCCGCCTCTCGCCATGGGGCTGGAAGCGTTTTTCGTCGGGCGGGCGGGGGGCGGAAAGAGAAAGAAAAGTAATCGGAGCGCACAAAAGTCACAACTTTCTCCAAGCAACGCAAGGCTGTGGGAGATGCCTGCTCTGGTAGCGGCCTTTCCTGGCTTTTTTTCAAGGCGCATCGGTGGTCAGAGGTGTCCCTTCACTTGTTAGCAGCAGGGCGTGGGCGGGGTGCTTGATGTCGCTGAGGGAAATGGGCAGGAGGGTGAATCAACCCGGCTGCGTTGGTTGCTTTATTGCACGTTTCTTTTCCCCGAGCACCTCGAGGGGACGGCGGCGCTTGCTTCCAGGTGGGCTGTTTGTTTGTTGTCCCGGGGCTGGGTGGGAATTCGTGTCGCCGATTCCCTCTCGTAAGCGGAGGGGTCAGTTCAGACGAGGCTGCGCTACTAAATTATCTTCTGGGAGCCTGAATTGATGTCCCCGAGAAATTACAGCAAGCCTCGCCACGCCAAGGGAGCTTCGTTTTTTTGGCATGGGTGGAGAAGAAGCCCCCAGTACAAATTGCTTTCCAAAGAGCGTTTCAACAGCATGATGTGATGTGTTTTTGAAAGAGAGATGGGGGGTGGGGAGAGAGATGTAAATAGTTCCTAGGTTCTTCCTTAGCATAATTAGCTGAGAAGGATTTCGAGTGTCTGTGAAAATATGGTACAGGTATTTTCAACCTTGTGCAGTCAATTATCATTTGCTGTGTCCCTCTGAGGGGGACTGTGCTGCCAACTCAAGGCATGTGGGGACGCAAAAGAAGAGTCTAAAATAAGTAGTAATTTTGTCTATTTCAAGCATTATAGCTCTTCGCCTTGAAAATAATGAAGCCCTTAGTTTTAATTTCTGGGAACAATTCATGTAGTTAATCTTACGCAACCATGATGATGTACATGTTGAACTGGTTTTAGGGAGGTTTTCAGACTGTTTCTAATAGAACACTCATCCAGATATCTTAAAGTTGACTGTAGTCCCTTGGTCCACTTTTAAAGTTCGACCATAACCAGTATATTCACAATCTTGACTGATACTGGGTTATGTTCTCTTTTTTTTAATGTGTCATTGCTTCAGCTGCTTCTAACATTGCTTGCATTTGCTCACGGCTCAAGACAAAGGAACCAAAAAAGAGATGAAGCAAGTAAGTTATTTTTTCTATAACAAGCTACACTGTGTAAAACAGAACTCTGTTTTAATCAACTTTTAAGCAAGAAGCAAATTGTGCTTTATACTTTACTCTTTCATTTTAAAGATAGTAAGTAAGCCAAATAGTTTTGCCCAAGATGACTCAGTCAAGAGTTCAAGAAGTACAGGAATTTGTTGCAGCAGTGAGTTGTCATAGTTGGCCAACAAACTAAAGATGTATTAATTTTGATTTTAAACAACTCCTTACTACATGATGTAATAATAATAATAATAATAATAATAATAATAATAATAATAATAATAATAATAATAATAATAATAATAATAATAATAATAATAAT